AACAAAAGAAGAATTGGAGTCTCACAATGAAAAAAACAAAGCACATAGAGACAATAATAAGAAAAGGATAATCACTTTACTCCCATACTATCAACAAACCCTTAATGGGAAATTCATTAGGGAGGGAGAAGATTACCCGTGCTATAAATTTCCAGAACCCTTAGTTCTGGAAGGAATCAAGAAGCCTAGATTTGAAATATTTCATGATTGCTACTTCTTGGATGACGATCATAGTATCGTTAAATCAAATCACCTAACTCCAGGGTGCTATGATAGACAAGCATTTAACTTGCTATTTGGACTAGAGAAAAATCATGTCGCTACAATGAGTAATCAAAACGTCATTCAAGATGAAGCTTTTGACCCAACCTCATTGATCACCCTTTCAAATGAAACTTTTGAGCATGGATAGAGGAAATCTTTCAAATGGACCAATCACAAAGGCGATAAGCTGAAAATCGTCACAGGCGAAGGGAAGATGTTTGAAGAATCGGACGATGAATCTATTATACTCTAGGAAAGCTGAAAATCTAGGCCTTGTGGCCATTACTGAGTCTTTATTTTCTAGTTCTAAGGAAGAAGATCCCAAAAAGGATTCTTCTCTTGATGTACTCTCTTTTGATTTTAATAATATGAGCTCTATTTCCGAGTATATGCCTTCTCTTGAATCTTTCGAATGCTATAACAATCAATCTAATGAAGATGATAACATTAATAAATTGGTTAAACTAATGAATGAACGAGAAAAAAAGAACCCTATCATTGAAAATCTAAAATAATTAATATAGGAACTAACGAAAATAAAAGAGAAGTCAAAATTGGCTTAACTCTAAATCCGGAAGAGCGATCGACCTCGACGCTCAAAGAATTCGAAGACGTGTTTGCTTGGTCATACAAGGACATGCCTGGAATAGATAGGAAAATAGCGGAACATACCATTCCCTTGAACCCTACCTCTAAATCAGTAAAACAAAAACTTCGATGAATGAAACTTGATGTCGAATTAAAAATAAAAGAAAAAGTACAAAAACAGTTGGACGCAGGTTTTATTCGCGTATGTAATTTGTAACCCCCCGTATTTTTAAATATATTATAAATGAAATTATATTTTATTTATAATATTTATTTGTATTTTTTCGGAATTTAATTTCAACAGTTTCAATTTTTAATTTGAGTTGAAAATTATTTTGGTACAAATTTTTATACATACCTTCATTCTATAATTCATGTCCAAACAAACAAAGCCAAACTCATCTTACTTACTTAATTGGCCCATTAATTTTATGAGGCCCAATCTTACTACTTACCCTACACCACTCTCTCTCCTATAAATACCCCATACATCTCCAAAGTTTTCCCCTCACAAAAAGGCTAGTAAACTCTCTTCGCTTTATTTTATTTATCTTATTTTCCCTTTATTTTTCTTTTCTTTTATTTTTCATTTTCCTTTCTTTTATTTATTTTTTTTCCTTACTTTTTCCTTTTTCTTTTCTGTTTTTTTTCTTTATTTCCTTTCCTCCTTCCTACGTGAGTTGTGACTCATTGCTGTCGCCCTGTTTTTCCTTTTTCTATTTTGTTTTTTTCTTTATTTCCTTTCCTCCTTCCTACGTGAGTTGTCACTCACTATTGCCACCCCTTATGCCGCCCATCCACCACCGAGGCGCCTCCCTGCCGCCACCCATCTGACCGCCGGCGACCACCAGGCAGCCCAGTCGTGGCTCCTTCTTCTTCCTCCTTTGTTTCATTACCTTGCTTAATGTTAATTCAATTTGTTTTGGGTTTTTATTTTTTAGTATAAAGATTATATTTTTAGTATCAAAATCATGTTTTTGATAGTTTAAACTTATGATTTCATATTATAATTAATGTTATAAATTTTCAGATTTTATGAATTATAAACCTAGGGTTTCAATTTAATGAAATTGGGATTTTAGGGTTCTAATGAGCAATTAAATTGCGGCTTTTGTTCCTATTGCATTTCTAATGATTAATTAAGTATAAAAACATGTTTTTGATGAAGTTTTAAGGAGTTTTTATCTAAATTATATTGTAGGAAATTTGGTTAAGTATTAATTTATTGTTGTTGGTTGTTTTCAAGGAAGTGATTATTACCTATGAGACTTTTAGTAATTAAAAGTGGCACAAAGGGTTGTTTACACGAGGTACGTACATGTCTACTCCATTTTTAGTAGTATCATGTTTAGGTACCAAAGAAAAGAACTTAGTTTCATGATTAGAGAACACTTGGATGAAAAATATTTGGTTATACATTTAATTAAATCATGTGCTTATGTTTATGAGACATATTTTGGTAAGTTGACTATGTTCAACAATTTGGATAATTTGGAAGTTTAATGGAATTAAGGGACAACTCGTGATGTGATCACCATTGTCCTAAAAAAGATTAAAAGTGAATTGATGTATGATTGTTATGTATGGTCTTCTTGAATGAGTCGGCTATTAATTAAATTTGTAATCACGTAAAGTGAAACATGGATGAGCAATAAAACTCTGGAAAGCGTGCACTTCTAGAGTATTAACAATTATGGGTTGAGTACACGGTGGTAGCCCGTGGCTTTCCGAGGCTTGTTTGATCAACATGTCCTCTTCTCTTTTGGTATTTACATTTTTATTTTATAATGAAAGTTAGATGGGATCCTAGACTAACTTTGTGAGAATGGAGTTGCGCCCATTCTTGCATCGCGCTAAACTTGTATTTTAAATGGTCATTTGGGACCAAAATGATTTGGTGGATTGGACAACCTCGTCTTTTTCTTACTCCAAATTAAATTAATCAAACTAAGTATAAAGAGCCAAGTGTTTGGAATTGGTTAGTAAGTATGTTGAGTCAATTGAATTGTCTAAGTGTGGAGTCTTGATTAATGAATTGTGTTGTATGTTTATTTACTTTAATTAATTGAGTCTGCTAGGTTTTGTACGTTGTAACTTGTATGTACTCAGCTTTGCTGATTGCGTGCTTTTGTGTGTGTTTTTCTTTTGGTCATGGCCTTCGCCTTTCAATGACCCTGTGATGATCCCATTATTACACTTGTATTATTGGGGAGAAATATTGCACAGGTTAGCTTGATGATGTGAAGTTTGGGCATTTGACATACGCATTGTCAAGGGATTGGTGTGATTGAGAGTATTCGATTCTTTTGTTGAACTCATTTATGCTTTGCTATTCATTTATGTTTTGGATTTTTATTATTTGTTTGGTTTTAAATAAGGGCCTTATATGGTTCCAATTTGTAAGATTTGACTTATTGGTTTTCAAAACTATGTTATTTTAAAGACTTATGTATTGGTTTTCCGCTGCGATACTTTGATAAAGCCTTAACGTTTTAATACGTGGCGGTAACATGTCAATGGTTCTCCACTATTTTATTTAAATTAAGTGGTTTGGAAAAGGGGGAATTATTGGAGTGTTACAAAGTGGTATCTAGGAGCTTTGGTTAGATTTTATTACCACTAAAGCCAATTTTAAAGTTATTAGGCGCCTAACGTTTTAAATGTAATGAGTTTTATTTAACTACCTTATTTAAAGTTAACTTAGGTTTTCAAAAATAATTCTATTTTAATATATTTATTTCGGCATTTATTAAAAAAAGTGTATTTATTGTTTTATATATTTTCTAATTATTTAGTTATTTTGAAATAAAATGAATTTAATTATTTAGTTTGTCTTAACTTGTGTGCTTATTTTATTTAACGGTGAGATTTGGGTAGCTTTAAAAAGGGTGTATAGGATAGATTATTTCTTTCTATATGCATTGAAATTAATTCTTTTGTCTTTTTATTATTGTATGAAGTGATTATGCAAGTTATTTAATTGTGTATGTTTTATCTAAAGGTGCTACTTTAGTGATCACTTTGTATCATGTTTAAGGATTAAAGCATGTAATATGGAATGGAATGAGATTCTTTGTGCAATGTGAAATGTTTAAATGATTTGTTTGTGTGAAGCATGTAATTGTGTGTCTACTAATATGTGTTTATTTAATGATGCTATACACTTGATGCATGGATTTTTGGTGGAATTGAATCAAGGGAATTATTTTATTTAATTTTTGTGTGCGTAGGAATGATTAAAATTAAATAATCATTTCCTTTAAAAGTGACTTATTAGGGGCGATTGTGTGGGCGTGTCCACCTTTCTACCTTAATATATATTTTTGATGATTATGAATGTGATTTATTAAGTAAGAGAGTTCTTTCGTGTTGATGTCGGCTTGAGAGTGTGTTACATTTCTAGGCAGAGAAGGAGGATGGCTAACAACGATGCTTTAGCTGCTGCTATTAGGCTACTAGCTGAGAATTTGAACCAAAACCGCAATGATAATCCTGATCCTGCGGGTGAGATGTTTAAGAAGCTTTCCCAAGTCAAGCCACCATACATTGAGGGAGGTGCAAACCCAACTTTTCTGGAGAATTGGATTAGGGAGTTCGATAAGATCTTTGTTGGTTTGAATTGCCCTGAGAATATGAGTGTGGATCAAGTTGCAATGTATTTGAAGGAAGAGGCAGATATTTGGTGGAGGGATAATGGAAACGTGCTTCGTGCTGAGGCTAATTTTGATTGGGAGACTTTCAAAACCAAACTTAGGGAGAAGTTCTATCCACCATTCTTAAGGAAACAAAAGGCTCAAGAGTTCATCAATCTGCAAATGAACAATATGTCGATTACTGAGTATTATAACAACACTAGTGGAAAAAAGTTCATTTGTAACGCCTTATTTGTAACGGGCATAATTAAATCCGTTACAAATAGATGATTCGTAACGGACAATATAAAGGTCCGATACAAATAACTGATATTTGTAACGGGCAAAAATTTGGCCGTTACAAATAAACAGTATTCGTAACGGGCAGAAATTTGTCCGTTACAATTATTGCTCTAATCGTAACGGGCAAATCAGGTCCGTTACAATTCCATCACGTGTTAGCACTACATTAGGGTTTTGAGAAATTAGTCAGTCGTTTTTCTCCCCCCCCCCCTCTCTCTCCCTCTCTCATATCTCTCTTTCGCTCTCTCTATCTCCTCAATCTACAACTTTAAATTGCAGATCTTCGTTATTTAGATCTAAATTGTGAATTTCTGTCAACTTATTCGGACCAATTGTTCGAAAATCGACGTTTCGAGTATGATTTCTTTGGTAATCTCTGAAATCCGATTCAAATCCATGATGCTAAATCTTGAGTAATTCACCTCCGTCGAAGCTCCATTGTAAAAGCTTTTGAGCTTAAACTCGTTATTGAAACAAAATCAGAGGTAAATTCTTTTTTCTTTTCATATATTAACCGTTGAATATCAATTTTTCAAGTCATTATGGTCGAATTCGGGTTATTTTGAGGTGACTTATTGAATATTGCTCAATTTATTAAAGATGATAACAATCAATTTTGCTCCTAGAATTTCTTATGTAATTTTTTTTGCTGCACCGATCCATGTAATTTAATTTTTCATTTTATGTTCCATTAATTCATTGTTATTTTATCATACATTATTATTATTATCTCAAGATCGCATCTACTTAATTGTGGTTTTGATTTTTTCGATTACAGATCTTGTGTAATTGTACTACAATTTGTCAACTATTTTTGTCGGATGATTTACTTTTAATTACTTTACTACTACATGTTTCTGGATTTTATTACAAATTAGAAGAATTGGCTTGGTTTCATTATAAATTGTCAAATGGTTCAACTTACACTTCAATCTTGTCGTGATTTTGGAGTCATATGGATCTAAATATTAGATTCTTTATTCCTTAGTGATGTCTTCTTTTTTTGAAACCCTTGGTAATGTTTTATCTGATACATAATATACACAAATAATTATAAACCTTCTTTATCTGATACAATATTCAATCAATTTATTTTTGAATAAAATATTAATTTTAGGAATATGTAAAGTGATTGAATTTTAGTTTGTGCATATAAATTCTGCTGAACTATTACATTGAGTCAGTGACTGTGGTTGCTTTATATATGTATGTTTATTGCTTTATATATGTCTGTCTTATGTGTTTATTAGTAATGACATTACATATATTAAGATTTATGGCTTGAACAAATGTGCAGGAAGATAGAAAATTGCATTTACTGCTTGGTTGTAATGGTGGTTCTTTCAAGATCAATGAGAGGAGGCCACCATAAGGTTTATGTCAGAGTAGGTTACAGGAGAAGGTGAAGAGAGAAAAAGAAAATAGAAGGGGAGAATATATATGGTATAATGCTAGTGCTTCGTATATTGGGTAATACATACTCTGGTTCACCCATGCAATGAATCTAAAGCTCGTATGTAACCAATGATTTGAGCAAGGTTACATAAACAAAACACCTTCATCAAGATTGCTTCAGATTTATTATTTCTAATTTTATCAATTAATTTTCGTGTGATTAAAGGGTGTTATCTCATTTCTGTGTAGGGTGTTATCTAAAGCTCGTATGTAACCAATGATTTGAGTAAGGTTAGCATCCATGGGTCTTCCTGATGCTCCCGCCATCCGCTCTACAATCTGGAAGGTTCTCTCTCTTTCTATTCATTTCATATTCTGAATTCATTACTTACTTTCTTGCGGACTTGCTGTTTTCTATAATTTGGTAATTTAGTTGCTAGTTTCTTGAATCTGTGACTTTTTAGCTGATTTTTTTATCAATTAATTAATGTTGTCCTGTTATTGTTTAGTTTTTCTGTTAATGGGTTTAAACTATTTTTGTATATGCATTCTCTTATCCTTTCGAGATCTGCTTGCTCAAGTCATAGTAATCAGCTAGAAGTGATTGTTAGAATGAGGTTTTGTGTTTACATCTAAGATTATTTGTGGCTATATGTGTGAGTATGGAGTTAGTGTTGCTGCTATTCCATGTAGTGCAGTAAGTCTATAGATTGATTTTCAGCCATTGATCTGTCTGTATATTGTTTGAGTTACAGTCTGACAAGTCTTTTTCCTTGATTGTTAGCTTAATTTAATTGATAGAATTGGATGTGAGACTGATGTTGCTGTTGTGAATTTTGTAAACTGATTGTAAAATAAATAAGGAAGCTTGAGTCTTTTTAATTGAACTAGCAAAAGGGTTACAAAGATAAATAAATAAGGGCTTAGGCTATAACTCTCGGTGGTAGCTTGACTATGCACATTAATTCATGTCTATCCTCTATAACAACATTGTTCTGTTGGAAATTTAGAGAATACTTTCTTGCAACAAATGTAAAATGCAATAAACTCTTTAAACCTTTGTAACTTTGTTTGATTGTTGTGTTTCACTTTTTACCAAGAATTGTATGATTGTCTTTGGGTTTGACTATCTTGTCCTTTTGAAAAATAATGCTTTTAGTTCTTGGTATTGTGTTTTAGGTTTAAAGGTAGATCATATATTGGAGTCCTTGACGATGATCAGAGCTCTTTGTCTCTTCTTGATATCCCTTTCACAGTTATAAGCAATATTGTAATAATTAATTCCTCTACTTATTCTTTTTTGATGATTGAGAAGCTCCATCTTGAACAATTGTATGGTAGTTTATAAAATTTGCCTTTCTTATGCAGACATTAGGTTCCAATTGCGCTTGTATATTTGAGGGTGGATCTGCTTTGCTTCCACTATCGGTGGCTAAGGTGCACTAACTATCATTTGAGCATTTCTTATGATCTTCCCACCTTTTTCTCTGTAATTACAAGAGTTCTGCTATGTTGGGTTACTTAGATTACTGATGGATCCTGTTGGGTTAATTTTGCATATATGTTATTTGTTTTCTGTTGTTCTTTTTTTGTGAGTCTACTTAGGGTATGTTAATTTGTTTTCTATTGTTCTTTTTTTTTCGAGTCTACTTAGAATATGTTTTAGATTATATTTATTGTTAGAATATGTTGTCCAGTTTATGATTCAATGTTTGATGCATCTTCCAAATGCCTTTTCAGTTGCCAATAGTGCCACTAGAGCTATTCCTGGAGATGGTGCTGCAGGTGCCGCTTTACTTTTTGCAGCTCCTGCAATTTCCCTTGATTGGTGGCGACGGAGGAAGCCACAAGAACCTTTTTCCCATTATTATGTAATCTTTGTTTTAGTTTTAGTTATTAGGAAATAATTAAAGCAGTTTTTGCTGATTGTATATTATTCGTTTTTTTTTTGAAAAAATTATTCGTTAATTATTTACTGTATACTATACTTGTATAATATATATAATATAATATAATATAATATATATAATATATATATATTAATTGATAAAATAATTGTGTCAGCTAGCTTTCCAGCATGAGCTGGATTTTTTTTTAATTGGATCTCACAATATTTGTAACGGGCAGAAGTTGTCCATTACAAATAACCTCGTTATTCGTAACGGGACCTTAAAAGCCATTACAAATAACGGGGTTATTCGTAACGGGCACCTAAAAAGCCCGTTACGAATAACGGGGTTATTGTAAAAGCCCGTTACGAATAACCCATTATTCGTAACGGGCAACATAAATGCCCGTTACGAATAATGGGTTATTCGTAACGGGCTTTTTAGGTGCCCGTTGCGAATAACCTATTATTCGTAACGGACGGTGCTCGTTACGAATAAGATAGGACATCCGTAACGGCCGCATACGTAACGGCCACTGCCCGTTACGGATGGGCTGTTTTTGCCCGTTACGGATGGCCTTTTTTCCACTAGTGCAAGTTTATGAACTTGTCGAGGTTTGCTCCTGAAGTAGTGCCTACTGAGGAGTTGAAAGCTCAAAGATTTGAGCAAGGTTTGACCAAACAGTTGGAGAAGGACTTGGTTGTAAAGACTTTTAAGACTCTTGATAAGGTGTATGGGAGAGCAGCGCACCTGTACATCTTGAATGTCAGGTTTGCACCTGAGAGTGGGAGTGTTGGAGAAAAGCGTAAGGATTTTGGAAATTCGAGTGACCAAGGTAACCTTAAGAAGCCAAGGAACGAGAATTTCTAGAATAGGAATTTTCAAAATAATGGAGGATCATCTAGAATTAATGGCCAAGCTGAGAGGCATTAGAACTGCACGAGATGTGGCAAGGATCATCCTGAAAAGGATTGTGATGGGAACTTGGTTGTGTGTAGATTCTGTAACAAGAAGGGCCATAGGGAGTTTGAGTGTTTCTCAAAATTGAAGCAACAAGGAAATTGGATCAAGTTTACTCCAACAAGCTATCAAGGAGGGAATTCGAATGGTCAAAATGGAAATGCAAAAAACGAAAATGTTAACAACAACAAATCCGAGAATCAAGGACAGAATGTCACTCCAGTTCGTTTGTCTGTGATGAGCAAGAAGGAAGCTGAAAGGTCTTCGGATGTTGTCACTGGTAACTTTTTTATTCATTCTATTTCTATTAAAGCTTTATTTGATTCTGGAGCCACCTATTCTTTTATTTATAGTTTTGTTGTGAAACAATAAGGACTAGTTGAACCGAATCCGATTGACTTGCCTATTAGTTTGCCTACTGGTGAAGTTGTGAGGTGCACCAAGATACATAAGGGTTTACCTTTAAGGATTGGAGAGACTTATTTTCCATCTGATCTTATAGAATTTGAGTTAGGTGACCTTGATGTCATTTTGGGAATAGGTTGATTGGCTACTTATAAAGCTAAGATTGATTGTGAAGTACAAAAGGTTTATTTAAGGAGTCCTTTGGGGGAGACAATGTCTTACATACATTTTGTGAAACCAAATGGTATTGGGATTATTTCTGCGATGAATTTGTCAAAACTTGTAGGTAAGGGGTGTCCTTTGGTCTTTAGTTGTGTGTAAGACTTGGAAATGAGTAGTAAGGTGGATGTGGAAGATATTTCAATTGTGAATGAGTTTTTGAAAGTATTTTGTGAAGAAGAAAGATGGGAGCATGAGATTGTGCATCGATTATAGGGAGCTGAAATAATGTGACAATAAAGAATAAGTACCCACAACCAAAGAATCGATGATTTGTTTGATCAATTGAAGGGAGCTAGTGTGTTTTTCAAGATTGATTTACGTTCGGGATATCATCAATTAAGAGTGACTGATAAGGATATACCTAAGACTGCTTTTAGGATTAGATATGGGCACTATGAGTTTACAGTTATGTCTTTTGGGTTGACCAATGCACTTGTAATCTTTAAAGACTTGATGAATCAAGTATTCCATGAGTAAGTTTGTAGTTGTTTTTATTGATGATAATTTGGTATACTCAAATAGTGAGGAAAAACATGAGCCCTTGAGGGGCCGAGGATTATATGAGAAAGAGATATCCAGAGTTATCTAATGAGGTGAGTTACGGGGGCGTAACTCTTGTTCTTTAAGGGGGGTAGAATGCGTATAATTTTCGCGCTTTTTGCCCTATTTTATGCTATTTTATGGTGTTTTCATGCTTTTCATAGCTCTTTTATTGTTTACGTATCTAGTGAATTACGTAAATTGGGATGGTGATAAGCCATTAGTGTCGATATTATGACACAATTGGAATTCCAGCAACATAATATTGATAACTTTGAAAGGATTTTATGCAAATGTTTTGCAATTTAAGGGATTTTGTGCTAAATTTCGGGACGAAACTTCTATTAAGAGGGGTAAATTGTAATCCCCATTATTTTTTAATATATTATAAATGAAAGTATATTTTATTTATAATATTTATTTGTATTTTTCCGGAATTTAATTTCAAAAGTTTCAATTTTTAATTTGAGTCGAAAATTATTTTGGTACAAATTTTTATACATACCTTTATTCTATAATTCATGTCCAAACAAACAAAGTCAAACTCATCTTACTTACTTAATTGGCCCATTAATTTTATGAGGACCAATCTTACTACTTACCCTACAACACTCTCTCTCATATAAATACCCCGTACATCTCCAAATTTTTCCCCACACAAAAAGGTTAGTAAACTCTCTTCTCTTTCTTTTATTTCTCTTATTTTCCCTTTATTTTTCTTTTCTTTTATTTTTCTTTTTCCTTTCTTTTATTTATTTTTTTTCCTTTTTCTTTTCTTTTTTTTCATTATTTCCTTTCCTCCTTCCTACGTGAGTTGTGACTCACTGCTGCCGCCCAGCCACCACCGGCGCGCCTCCCTACCACACCCATCTGACCACCGGCGACCACCTGGCAGCCCAGCCGTGGCTCCTCCTTCTTCCTCCTTTGTTTCATTACCTTGCTTAATGTTAATTCAATTTGTTTTGGGTTTTGATTTTTTAGTATAAAGATTATATTTTTAGTATCAAAATCATGTTTTTGAGAGTTTAAACTTATGATTTCATATTATAATTGTTATTATAAATTTTCAGATTTTATGAATTATAAACCTAGGGTTTCAATTTAATGAAATTGGGATTTTAAGGTTCTAATGAGCAATTAAATTGGGGCTTTTATTCCTATTGCATTTCTAATGATTAATTAAGTATAAAAACATGTTTTTAATGAAGTTTTAAGGAGTTTTAATCTATATTATATAGCTGGAAATTTGGTTAAGAAATAATTTATTGTTGTTGGTTGTTTTCTAGGAAGTGATTATTTCCTAGGAGACTTTTAAGTAATTAAAAGTGACATAAAGGATTGTTTACACGAGGTACGTACATGTCTAATTCATTGTAAGTAGTATCATGTATAGGTACCAAAGAAAAGAACTTATTTTCATGATTAGAGAACACTTGGATGAAAATTGTTTGGTTATACATTTAATTAAATCATGTGCTTATGTTTATGAGACATGTTTTGGTGAATTGATTATGTTTGTATGGAAATATGGATGCAAGCATGTTGAATTATATTGGATTAATTGTTTGTATTGAATGTTGATACAAACATATTTTTATTGGATTGGTTTGTTAACCACATTTGGATTATTAAAGGATTGGAATTAAATTGTTTAAGTGGAATGAATTTATTAATTATTCCACAAGGTTGTTATTTATGTTATTTATTACTCAATCATGACTTGTTAGTATGTTGAGTAAAGGTGGATTAAGCCGAATGGCTAGGTGAGTTGACTATGTTCAACAATTTGGATAATTTGGAAGTTTAATGGAATTAAGGGTCAACTTGTGATGTGATCACCATTGTCCTAAATAAGATTAAAAGTGAATTGATGTATGATTGTTATGTATGGTCTTCTTGAATGAGTCGGCTATTAATTAAATTTGTAATCACGTAAAGTGAAACATGGATGAGCAATAAAACTCTGGAAAGCGTGCACTTCTAGAGTATTGACAATTATGGGTTGGGGTCCACGGTGGTAGCCCGTGGATTTTCGAGGCTTGTTTGATCAACATGTCCTCTTCTCTTTTGGTATTTACATTTTTATTTTATAATGAAAGTTATATGGGATCCTAGACTAAATTTGAGAGAATGGAGTCGCGCCCATTCTTGCATCGCGCTAAACTTGTATTTTAAATGGTCATTTGGGACCAAAATGATTTGGTGGATTGGACAACCTCGTCTTTTTCTTACTCCAAATTAAATTAATCAAACTAAGTATAAAGAGCCAAGTGTTTGGAATTGGTTAGTAAGTATGTTGAGTCAATTGAATTATCTAAGTGTGGAGTCTTGATTAATGAATTGTGTTGTATGTTTATTTACTTTAATTAATTGAGCCTGCTAGGTTTTGTACGTTGTAACTTGTATGTACTCAGCTTTGCTGATTACGTGCTTTTGTGTGTGTTTTTCTTTTGGTCATGGCCTTCGCCTTTCAATGACCCAGTGATGATCCCATTATCACACTTGTATTATTGGGGAGCAATATTGCACAGGTTAGCTTGATGATGTGAAGTTTGGGGATTTGACATACGCATTGTTAAGGGATTGGTGTGATTGAGAGTATTCAATTCTTTTGTTGAACTCATTTATGCTTTGCTATTCATTTATATTTTGGATATTGATTTTTTGTTTGATTTTAAATAAGGGCCTTATATGGTTCCAATTTGTAAGATTTGACTTATTGGTTTTCAAAACTATGTTAATTTAAAGACTTATGTATTGGTTTTCCGCTGTGATAATTTGATAAAGCCTTAACGTTTTAATAGGCGGTAACATTTCAATGGTTCTCCTCTATTTTATTTAAATTAAGTGGTTTGGAAAAGGGAGAATTATTGGGGTGTTATATAATTACCCAGAATGGGTAGCAAACATTGTCCCAGTCCCTAAAAAGGATGGACGAGTTCGCATATGTGTTGACTTTAGGGACCTTAATAAAG